AAATACGGTAATACTTCTCTTCATATCTGTCTTTCAAAATAATAACAATGGAATACATTCACCAGAATCCTATTGGCATTTTCATAAGATTTGAGTAACTTGCTACAGCTAATTGTGGCTAATGAATAAGGTGCTGGCATGTGTTGAAGGCTTGGTCATGTGCTCTATTGCACAACCAAGATGTGCTCCAGTGCCTCATCAATTAGCCACAGCAAGCTGCACAGATTTTATACAACACCAATAGATTCAGGCCATTTTTAAAATGAAATCCTGCAAAGGCTGGTATCACATTTTTACAAAAATAATATATCCTGGTACAGTGTTTCTGGAGTGCATGTCTAAAATAAATTGTTGATTTAGAGGAATTGTTTCTTGATTCTCTTCAGCAGAATCTTCATGTTGGCCCCCGTCCAGTCAAACAACTCGTCGTAGGCTTTGAACTGACATTTTTGCATTTGAGCAGAATTCACTTATTTATTGGATTTTCCTGTCTATCTTATCCTCGGTCCTTAGCCTTTGTGTACAGGGAAAGGTACATAAAATTCTCATTAAAATAAAATTCAAAGGTGTAGGAGTAATGTTCCATAAATTAACATGCAGCATGTTAATGTATGCCTTTTCACACTTCTCTTCACCGATCTATTTGAAGAGTGACAACCTCCCATGGCAGGAGACCCTAACAAGAAAAGGAGTCTAAGAAGGGTGGGAGTTTCAAAAAAAGAAAGAAAGAAAGAAAGAAATTCTAAAAGCACAACTACAAATAATTCCAACAAGAAAAAAAGGAGGGAGGCAGCAAAAAGGCCAGCAAAAAAGCTCAGGGAGGACCTAAAAACTGAAAAAGACATATACAGGAAGTGGAAAGGAGGCCAGGCCACCGAGGATGAGTACAGACTAGTAGCAGGGAAAAGTTCCACAAAGCTTCAATAATTTACTTTAATCTCTTCTATTTTAATTAATACAGGTCACCCTCTGATTAATCACTCCTTCAACACTCTCTGCCTCTAACTCCCAAACTCCTTCTTCTCTAGCTCTCTCTGACTAAAAGGTACCCATGACTCCAGATCTTTTCTCACAGATTATGAACCTCCAGACAAATATCAAGTGCAACTGGAGGGGACAGGATTGCAACTGGAGATTGATAAACATATAGTCAAGGAATACCTTGAACAAGTTCAAATCTCCAGGGCCGGATGAACTGCATCCAAGAGTACTGAAGGAATTGGCTGAAGAACTCTCAGAACCACTACTCATTATTTTTGTGAAATAATGGAACAGATTATGAACCTCCAGACAAATATCAAGTGCAACTGGAGGGGACAGGATTGCAACTGGAGATTGATAAACATATAGTCAAGGAATACCTTGAACAAGTTCAAATCTCCAGGGCCGGATGAACTGCATCCAAGAGTACTGAAGGAATTGGCTGAAGAACTCTCAGAACCACTACTCATTATTTTTGTGAAATAATGGAAAACGGGTGAGGTACCAAAGGATTGGAGGAGGGCTAATGTCCCTATCTTCAAAAAGGGCAAAAAAGAGGAACCTGGGAACTAAAGGCCAGTCAGCCTGATGCCAATCCCAGGCAAAATTCTGGAACAGATAATAAAGCGGTCATTGTGCAGGCACCTAGAAAACAATGCAGTAATAACTAGAAGCCAACATGGATTTGTGAAGAACAAATACTGCTAAACTAATCTGATCTCATTTTTGGATTGGGTAAACTTCCTGATAGACGGAATGTTGTAGACATAGTATATCTTGACTTTAGCAAAGCTTTTGACAAAGTGCCCCGTGACATCCTGATTAGCAAGCTAACTAGGCGTGGTCTGGATAGATCAGGTGGATGCACGGCTACAGAATCGTACTCAGAGTATGATGATTAATGACTCCAACTGATTGCACAGTTACAAGATGGGGGATATGTGGTTCAGCAATACTGTGAGCATGAAGGATCTTGGAATTGTCATAGATCACAAGCCAAATATGAGCCAACAGTGTGATGTGGCTACAAAAAAGGCAAATGCTATTTTCGACTGCATTCAGAGAAGTAAAGTTTCCAAATGCTGCGAGGTGCTAGTTCCCCTCTATTCAGCACTGTTTAGGACTCACCTTGAGTATTGTGCCTAGTTCTGGCCACCACCCTTCAAGAAAGATGTGGGCAAATTTGAACAAGTTCAGAGGAAGGCAATAAGGATAATCAGGGAGCTGGAAACCAAGCCCTATGAGGAAGAAAGAATTGGCCACGTTTAGCCTTGAGAAAAGAAGACAGAGGGGTGATATGATAACATTTTTCAAATACTTGCAAAGCTGTCATACAGAAGAGGGGTAGGATCTGTTCTAAATCATCCCAGAGTGCAGGACACGCAACAATGGGCTCATGTTACAGGAAACCAGATTTTGATTTAATATCAGAAAAAACTTCCTAACTCTTAGAGCAATAAGACAGTGAAACCAATTACCTCGAGAGGTTGTGAGTGCTCCAACATTGAAGACATTCAAGAGACAACCACTTGGCAGACTACTGCTTGGGGTGTAGGGTACAGCATCAGATTGCCACAGGTATTCACCATTCCTTTTTTTTCCATTGACTTCTAAAGGGATGCAAAACCTTCCTTGCTGGCTCTGTTGGCCAGAATCCTGTTAGGTGGGTCTACCAGTGTAACTCTATCTGCATAAATCTCAGTATTAAATGGCCAAAAATTAAGATGTATGTGTAGCATTTGCTGTCATATACCAGTCAAGAGATTTGGCACATGATAACAAATTCCTAAGCTGACTTGTTAACTTGTGGCAGTTTGCTACTGAACGTTATGCTGACAGCGTTACAGTGGTGTACATCTTGGAATAGAATTCTAGCCAATGTTTACTGGTTGGTAAATTGTATGCAGGGTCACTATCAGAGGAAAGGCATTGCTAAGAGCCTGCTGAGGGCCATATGCATGGAAGAGCTTTGTTGTCAATCCCCCAGAGTCTCCTTGCCCTCTTTCTTGCTGTCTCTGTCGGTTCGCTCACCCTCTTTGAGTGATGACAAAAATGAGGGGACATATTAGCATTCTCTCTTTCCCCTCTGTGCTGCTTCTGGACAGTTGTGACAGTTGATCATTTCCAACCAAAAAGAGGTTGAAAATGACAAAAGGGGAAGAGATGGGCCTTAACAAAACCTTGACACCAGTTGTATATACTGTATTACTTGTCAAAGCAGAGTCCTGCATAGTGCAGGTGTTAGATAATTGGATTAGGGCTGGGAAGAACCAGTTTCAAAGCCATGTACAGTGGTGCCTCACTTAACGATGTTAATTGGTTCCATTAAAAAAATCGTTATGTGAAAACGTTAAGTGGCTTTCAATGGAGAATAAAAAAATTCACCAAAATTAACGAAGACTCAGAACAACATCAAATTAAGTTTGCATAGTTTCAGGAGGTGGGCTAACGATTGCAAGCATTTAAAACAGGTTTCAAACAGTTTAAGACACTTTTACAGGAGCGAAAACAGACATCGTTGAGTGAAAATCCCCCATAGAGAACATCGTTAAACGATGGGAGAAATTCCTCAAAGAAACCCATTGGTAAGTGAATTCTTCATTAAGTGAGGCAATCGTTAAGCGAGGCACCACTGTACAGCCATTAATCCCTGTGAGTGACTTTGTGCCACTCTGTGCCTCTCTATTTCCCATCTCAGCTTGCCTCACAGAACTGTTGTGAGGATAAAACTGAGAAAAAACTCTCAAGCGTTTTAAAGGAAAAGCAGGATATCAATATAGGTTCAAAAAAGTAATGATTGTTTCAGGCCCACATGAGGGCCTTGCTGCCATTTGTCTGCCCTACACTGCATATCCTTCTTCTATACAAGCCCCTCTACTGTTGATCTCTTTTGCTCCTTTCTCCCACTCTTACCATGCTAGTCTTTACTTTTAATTTATCAATTCATTTCTCTTTTCTCTTCTATATTGTCCCTCAAGGGGAATTTTCCAACAGACATTGCCTTTGCTCAGTCATTCTATGCATCAGATTCCCTTCAAGTTCCTCTCAGCTGTTCTTTTGTGAATAATGCATTAGAGTTGAATTATGTTTGTATTCCAAAATTGTGGTACTGAGAGGTCTCTGTGTTTGAGAAGCAAGACTTGTACATTAAGCCTTTGAAGACCAATCACAAAACAACACAAACTTTCTTTCTTTCTTTCACCAGGATCCTTCCAGATGTGTTAATGCTGTTCATGCCCTTGTCTTGTGCAGGCTCAGTTCCTAAGGTGGCATGCACAATTAGAGCTCCCTTCAGATGAGCTGTGATGCACAGCTGACAACCTGTCCCTTTTTAGCAACCCCTTGTCATCTCCCTACCTTCTTGCTGTGATATGAAACCTTGCAGGGACCCAGATGAAACTGACATAGCTAATAATTTTTTTTCTGCCATTTTAGCAACTTCTTGTAAGGTTTCTCTCCCTCTCCACCATCCTGCCCTCATTTGAAAACCTCCCTGCCACCAAACAAAATAGTCGGTTTCCCAAGACTAAGCGGTATAGAAGCCTGGAGTGAGTGGCTTCAGATCCATGAGGGAAAGTGGTCATACAGTAGTTTCACATCCATACCGGTATGACCCGTATGTGGTTTAGCCCTGCACCTGTGTTGTGTAGAGCAAGGGTCTGTAACCTCCCCTCTGCGGCCTGGTGCCAGTCCATGGCCTGGGCTGGACCAGGCCACGGAGACAGATCTCCCACCCCCGCACACACTCCTGCCCCCACAGCCCCTTCGCACATGTGCATGAGCATGTGCGAGCACCGCACCACCCCTTCATGAGTGCCCCTTGCGCCCTCGCCCTTTGCTCATGCATGCTTTGATCCCTGCTTTCCCCATTTTTCCTAAGCCCCACACTTTGATCCCTGCTTTCAGCATTTTGATCCCTGCTTTCAGCACTTTGATCCCCGCTTCCCCCCTCCACTTTCTTAGTAAGAAAGTGGAGCGGCAAAGCAGGGATCAAAGCACTGATCCCTGCTTTCAGTGCTTTGATCCCTGCTTTCCCCCTCCACTTTCTTAGCAAGAAAGTGGAGGGGAAAAGCAGGGATCAAAGCGATCATGCAGTGCTTTAATCCCTGCATCCCCCTCCACTTGCTAAGCCCGCTTAGCAAGTAGAGGGGGAAGCAGGGATCAAAGTGCCACACAATCGCTTTGATCCCTGCTTTCCCCTTCCACTTACTAAGTGGGCTTAGCAAGAAAGAGGAAAGCAGGGATCAAAACAATCCTGCAACACTTTGATCCCTGCTTTCCCCTAGTTTTAGTCCCACATTTATTCCTCTATGGGTTGAATAACTTAACAGTTGTGAACTGACATTTTTCTTATACATGGCGGTGTCTTATACACAGAGCTAAGCCCCGCTTAAATTTCTTAATTTGGGTTAGAAAAAGGGGGGTGTTTCTTATACATGGGGGTGTCTTATACACAGAAAATGCGGTAATTGTTTCCTGGTATCTTCCTATGTGTCTCCAATGTAGAAAACATCAACAGATGTTGAAGGACGGATGCTTGAGCAGTGCCTTGCTGAAGAAGACCAGCTTTTTAAGGCACAGGAACATTACAGAGATGAATTAGCCAACTTGATACGTATGATTCAGGTCAAAGCTGATGAGCGGGAACAAAAATCCAAAGATTGCTTAAAAGCCCAGGTAATAAGAGCCGAACAGAGACCTAATTTGGTACGTTAGCTAATGGTAGTCATCTGGACTTGCCAGGTGCTGTAAGCAGAGTAATGGTGGATAGAGTCTTATTCCTGACTCACATATTAACTGAACAAGTAGCACAAAGGCCACTGTGAAATCCTAACAACTGGCAAATCTGTATTTAATTGTGATATAATTATTATTCTTCCTCTGCTGCATCCACATTCTGCTGGAAATCACAAGAATTAGGACTGCCTTCAAAGTTAGGTAAGTTTAATTTTTTTCGGTGCCTATTTTCATATATACACTATATATACACTATACATACTAGATAGTCTAGAATTGGCATAAGCAATCTGTAACTGATTATCGGAACAATCTCTCCAGACTGTTTAAAATCAGTGCACTGTAAGTTTGGTTGTTGCAAGTCTATCTCACTTGTCCTACAGGGACTTTAATAGTCTGTATACATTTCTCCTTCTCTCCTTTTATGTTCATGATTCTGTGAGATAGTGTGAGACCTAGTGATTAGATCACATGACTTTTCGAGTTAATGAATATGGCCTTTCTGAAGATGCTAAACATTGTAAATAATTTAATTCTTGACAAGAATGAGTTTGCTAATTTGCAAAATAAGATTTGAAAACTGGCTGAGATGTTGTACTTCTATGAGAAATATGCAGTCATGTGAAAAAGAAAGTACAGCCTCTTTGAATTCTATAGTTTTATGTATCTGGACATAATAAAAGTCATCTGGTCCTTAGCAGGTTTGAAACTTAAGTAAATTCCTCTGATGAACTTTAGTGTATAATCTGGAGAAGTCATATGTGAAAAACTATGTACACCTATGTAAAGCTTATAGAACCACCTTTTAAAATATATTATTTATTACAGTGGGGTCTTGACTTGAGGCTTATAGAACCACCTTTTAAATTATATTATTTATTATTTCCATGGTGAGGGGAAATGAATCGGTATAACAGGGAATATATCATGCCATTCCATATCACATATTATCTGTACTTATACATATCATTACATTAAAAACTTTTGTATCTGTTAATTGCCTATATACTTCCAACTAAAATTATTTGACTATTTTGTATTAAAGTTATTGCATTTGGCTTTCAGATTATGGAATGGATCCAGTTATATATAGGGTCCCAATTTTTAGTTGCTTCTTGGATTAAATTGTCTTTTAAAGCTTCTGTTAATATGTACATCTCTGCCACTTCCATAATCTTTTCCGTAAATTCTTCACGGTTTGTTATTTTAATTTTCTTCCATTTACATGCGTATAGTATTCTGGCTGTGGTTATTATATATATATTACCAAATGGCTCTCTTTCTATCCAAAGTCTCTGGCAACATATTTTAAAAAATAATTCTGGTTTAAATGGAATATTACGTATTAGAATTTTCTGCAAACATTCATGTATTAGTATCCAATAGTTTTTTTTTTTGCTTCTCTACATGTCTACCACATATGATATAAGATTCCCTCTTGCAGTTTACCTTTCCAACATACATTTGATGTACCTTCATGCATTTTTATAACTTACCTGGTGTCATGTACCATCTGTAAAACATTTTGTAAATGTTTTCTTTAAAACTTAATGATTTTGTAATTTTTATATTAATTTTCTGTATTTTTTCCAGTCATGAATTTCAATATTATGCCCTATATTTTGTGCCCACGATTATACAATCTTTTACCAATTCATCTTCCGTTTTAATTTCTAATAACACTTATACTTTTTAAAATCAATTTGTCATATGTTTCTAATAGTATTTTATCCAGGATTATTTGCTCTAAATGAAAACCCTCCTTTTTATCTTTTACATGTCTAGATTACAATTGTATTCTAGCCCATCAATCAATCGATAGATAGATAGATAGATAGATAGATAGATAGATAGATAGATAGATAGATAGATAGATAGATTGATTGATTGATTGATTGATTGATTGATTGATTGATTGATTGATTGATGGGCTAGAATACAAGATATATTGTTCTTCTAACTCGTCTTTTGTTTTTAATTCACAGTTTCCGTTTAGTAATTCTTTGTATCTGAGCAATCTGTTTACGGACATAAGGTTGGGTTGTGTAAAAGCTTCTAAAGGAGATATCCATTCTGGCATCTTTCGGTATATCTGACATCACATCTTATCCCAGGACCATAATAGAGATCTTCTATTATGGTTGTTAAAATATTTATGGTCTTTAGCTTTTTTGTACTACAAAAATTGATGCCAATCAAGCATCAGGTCATGTCCTGCTATCTTGAGTACTCTATGATTTTTAATAGTCATCCATTCCTTTACCCAGACTAATGCACAAGCTTTATAGTATATACGCCAATCTGGAATGCCAAATCCAGCTCTTTGTTTGGTATTTTGCATAGCTTTAATTTAAATTATTGTTTTTTTATATTGCCAAATAAATCTCATCACCATCTTATTAAGGTCTTGAAAAAAGGTTTGTTTCAGTAACACTGGAATAGAGTATTCTAGGAAGAATATTCATCTTGATTGTCGCTAGTCACCCCATCAAGGACAATTATAGATTCTGCCATTTTTTGAGATCCTTCTGAATATTGTCTAGTAGTTTCATGTAGTTATCTTTTACTAGTGCACTAGGTTTTTTGTAATTCGTATTCCTAAATATTTAATCTTTTTCTCAACTTAGAAATCCATTTTTCCATTAATTCCATTATTGTATCTTCTTTGATGTTCTTGACTAGTATTTTTGTTTTCCCCCTGTTTACTTTCATCCCAGCTAACTCTCCAAAAATTGCTAACATTTCCATCAATGATATTATTGATTCAGTTGGTTCTTCTAATATGAAAACCAGGTTGTCTGCAAATGCTTGTAATTTGTACTCTTCTCCTGTTATTTTTAATCCTTTTATTAACTCATTACTTCTAATTTGATTGTTAAGCACTTCCAATGTAAGGATGTAAAGTAGCGGGGATAGGGGGCATCCTTGTCTTGTTCCTTCGTACAACTGTATTTCTTTTGTTAATTCTCCATTGATTTTTACTTTAGCACTTTGTATCAATGGGTCTTATTAGTTTTATAAATCTTTCCCCAGCTTCTATTACTTCTAGATGTTGTAGCATGAAGCTCCAATTAAGCTTGTCAAAAGCTTTCTCAGCATCTAGGAAAATCATAGCCATTGTTTTTCCGTATGCGTTTCATAGTATTCTAGAATGTTTAATTCCCTGGAAAAGAAACTGATGTTAGGAAAGTGTGAAGGCAGGAGGAGAAGGGGACAACAGAGATGGTTGGACAGTATCATCGAAGCTACCAACATGAATCTGACCCAACTCCGGGAGGCAGTGGAAGACAGTATTTTATAATCTACATTTAAAAGTGAGATTGCTCTATAATTCTTTATTTCTTTTGGATCAGTTTTTTCTTTATGTATGAGAGTGATCAATGCCTCCTGTCCATGTTGAAAGTATTTCTTCTTTTTCTGCAGTATATTCCTATTGTCTCTTATATAATGGTTGTTGTGGGTTTTGGGGCTCTTGGGCCGTGTTCTGAAGGTTGTTCTTCTTGATGTTTTGCCAGTATCTGTGGCCGGCATCTTCAGAGGACTGGAGTAGGAACTCTGTCCATGCTATGTTGGTGTTTGTTGGATAATATTTATAGCTGTGGGAACGGCTTTTTGTCTTTTTTCAGGAGATAGGGTGATTGGCATGTTTTTGTTGTGATGATGGGGGGAGAGGGAGAGATTATCTGTCACTGTGCTTGATGGGTGTCGTTAGCTGGTCTTTTTTGTGAAATGATCTCTGGCCCTTGTGGCTGACTAAGAGTTTGTTGACATTTTGCAGATTGTATTTTTCAGAATGGGGCGCCAGGTCGAGTTTAGTTTCAGGTATTCTTCTTTCCTGTTGAAGTTTTGTTTATGTTTATGGATTTCAATGATTTCCCTGTGCAGTCTAACATACAGATTGCTGGTGTTGTCCAGTACTT